TTGGTGAAAATGGCCCAAATGGTGATTCTTTCCGAGAAGCACCATTTGGGCCAGTTTCACCAACGCTTAGCGCTTTTTTTACCGTTTTTTTTAAAAAGGTAAGTTTATATATAATTTTAAAATTCCATAGAGAAAAATTTCATTTACGAGAGTCACCTCCTTATATTCATAACGACAGACCACGATTGCACTTGCTCTTATCCCCAGCTATTTGGATTCATTTTCAAGGCCGAAAATAAGGGCATCGAATGCACTGGCACATCTGGTGTCAAAGTGTGCCCTTACGGTACACTGACCCAGTTTGCGCCTTTAGCGTGTGCGTTCGCCTCGAGGTCCGCTCAGCGGAGCGTCGACCTCGAAAGAGGCTTCCGTTTCATTCCCCTTTAGACCCCAGCTCTCCTAGAGTCTAAGGACGAAGTGAAATTCCTCCCGTCGAGTCGGTCCTCCCCCTAGCTCCCTTGCGGTCCGGAGCTTAGACCGACGACACGGCGATTCGGTTCGCGTTACGTTTACTTCCTCAGGTTCCACGCGTGCGGAGCCTTGGACGTAACAGAACTTGAAAAATTGGGGGCTCATCCGGAATAGAAAAGTGCAATTTTGGAAAACGAAATGAATACGAGGAATTCGGGCGATAAATCAGAAGTAGAGAACCTCTACAAGACCGCGATAGGAAATTTGAGTAAAATAAAATCAAGTACACAAAACACACTACCAACCTCTATTCCTATCAAACCCTCCTTCGGATCCAGATCCGAAACGACAGATTTTCTATTCACCGAATCGGGAATTTTGAATAATTCCGAAACTCTTGTACCTGGCGATTTCGCCGACTCAGAGAACGTAACAATATGCTTGTTTTTTTTCTTCATTTTAGAAAAAAATCGCAAAAAAGACAAAACGTAGTATTTTCATTTTTGTACTTTTTCATTACTTAATCACGTTGTATTTATTCACTTGCTTAATGTAGATATTGTTCAAAATATTGGCCTCTTATAGCAATGCAAGCATTGCATCTAGTACGGACAGCTGTCCGTACTAGATGCTGTTGCAGCCAAACACTTATCTGGCGATATTTGATGCACTGCAGCCTCGATTCGATGTCTCGATTGTACTCTTGAGTTGACTGGCGACGAATAAACTTCCTGCATCAGAACCTCCCACACGAAGAATTCCAGTGGTGTCAAATCAGGTGATCAGGGTGATCAAGGTACTATAATACTCCTCCACGTCCGATCCATCGTTGTGGATAATGTCTGTCTAGCCAAGCTCGAGTAGTTCTGCCATAATGAGCTGGACATCCATCGAGTTGAAACCACATTTTAATCCGTTGCTGCAGGTGAATATCTTCTAAATAATTAAAGAAATCACGCGATCGGGGTGGCCAAGGTAGTACTCCTCCACGTGATTTCTTTGATTATTTAGAAGACGTCTACAGCAACGAATTAAAATGTGGTTTCAACTCGATGGATGTCCAGTTCATTATGACCTCTGTTACACGCACTGATAAAACCGTTTTAGTAAAAACCGTTTTTATGAAATTGACCAATCATAGCTATTCCTCGGAAGAATGGAATGACTATAATTGGCCAGTTTCATAAAAACGGTTTTTACTAAAACGGTTTTATCAATGTGTGTAACAGAAGTCCATGGCAGAACTGCTCGAGCTTGGCTAGACAGACATTATCCACGACGATGAATTGGACGTGAAGGAGTAATATTTTGACCACCCCAATCACCTGATTTGACTCCACTGGACTTCTTTGTGTAGGGAATCATGAAGCAGGAAGTTTATTCATCGCCAGTCAACTCAAGAGAACAATTGAGAAATCGAATCGAGGCTGCAATGCACCAAATACCGCTAGAATCAGTGTTTGGCTGCAACACGAGCTGTCCGTACTAGATGCAATGCTTGCATTACTGCAAGAGGCCAACATTTTGAATAATATCTACATTAAGCAAGAATGAATACAACGTGAATAAGTAATGAGAAAGTAAAAAATGAAAACTACATTTTGTCTTTTTTGCGATTTTTTCCAAAATGAAGCAAAAACGAGGATATCTCTACAGGACTTTTTTTCTTAGTTTATCGATCCTCTACATACACGGTCCCGAAGTTTAGACATTTAAATTCGTAACACATATTGTATATACAATATATGACAACTATTTTTACCAACATGAGAAAATACGGTATTAAAACATTCTGAAAAAATTTTCAGAAATTTATAAGAAGAAAATAAACTATTTTGTCTCTTGCTATTTTTCTGTAAAATTAATAATGTTTGAGTAAAAAATTATTAAAAACCAATATTTAGCGATTTTTAGTAATTAATATCTTGTTAACTATTGCGAAAATTGCAAAATAGTAGAGGACTTTTCAACTTAGTTTAGTCCATTCTATTTACACAAAAACGCTTGGCAAAAAATTACGAGACAGCCTGTATGTTATTTAGAATTCTTCGCCCCTTGTCTCGTTCGCTCTCGGCGCGCCGAAGGCGAGCACATGTACATAGGCTCCATGCTTGTGTGTATGTTACAGCGCCTCGCCACGATAAAAGGCTGAACTATTAGACGTGAAAAGTAACGTTTTGACGACGAAATTTTATGTTACGTGCCACTTCGTTATTATGTGCTTAATTGTAAAAATGTGACTTTTTAAAGTTGTAATTATGGAGAAAACTAAACAATATTAAGAATCTTTATTTTAGACCGCATATATGTGAAAAATACAATCAATACTAGAAATTTAAAATGCCTATTACGGTCGAAGCTGGACCTTCATCGCTTTAAATAATTCAATCTTGAATTACTATAATTTATACTATATATGTACTTGCATATATACCATATTGTAGTCTTTTCTAACTGCGCGCCGAATTATTTTTCCGGACTATAAACACAATTAAAACTACTCTAGTAATTGCGAATTAAATTTACAAGAAATTTTAATAATTTGATGCTACAATCAAGCATCATATTATAAAGATGTTAATAGGTTGAAAAACTGTTAATAAATTTATTGCGAAAAATATTACCTCGGCCGGGACTTGAACCCGGATCTCTTGTATTCCGTAAACCACTGAGGCTTAGGACGCTCGTACGGAATACAGAGAGATCCGGTAATATTTTTCGCAATAAATTTATTAACAGTTTTTCAACCTATTAACATCTTTATAATATGATGCTTGATTGTAGCATCAAATTATTAAAATTTCTTGTAAATTTAATTCGCAATTACTAGAGTAGTTTTAATTGTGTTTATAGTCCGGAAAAATAATTCGGCGCGCAGTTAGAAAAGACTAAAATATCGTATATATGCAAGTACATATATAGTATAAATTAGTAATTCAAGATTAAATTATTTAAAGCGATAAAGATCCAGCTTCGACCGTAATAGGCATTTAAATTTCTAGTATTGGAGAAAACTAAAGTTACCTTGGAATTTTATACGTAAAAGCATATTTTTAACTCGTTTCAACCGCTGTCAAACCATATATTTCTATTCGAATATAGGCTCACTTTACGTGTCTTTTATGACCATTTACTGACTGTCAAGGGAGGAAATTTAAGGACAGTTTTGTCAGTTTGTACAAGTATTTTAAAACAATCTCGTCATTTAGATTTATCCAAATTGTCTTTATTTACAAATGGCACGTAACATAAATTAACGTGTCATTCCTTGCTTCTGATTCACGATTCCAACACGGCGACTACTCAGGAGCCTTAAGGAAGCGAAGTTCAGCATGCGAAACGTTTTAGAGACTGCCAGCTGAAATAATATATCAAAACTGCACATAATTTTTGAAGTTCACCTAGGATCACCACCGATCGGTGGAAGTGTCCTTCTTGGCCTCCTTCGCGGTATAGATTGCTCTCGTTTATGTTCATATTCCTGCTTGAACTTCTCCGCATGCTTTACTCGGGCCATCATCGCCTTTGTCATAGTTGGTCTGGCAAATTCGACTCTCCTCGGCTCGGCTGAAATATATTGTCGCCTTTTGCTAGGGTCTATTAAAACTGGTTGTGGTTGTCGCCCTGTTTCCTTCTGTTCATATTCTTTTACTACAGTGGCACTTCTCGCCTGTCGTAGTGCCTGCGTCTTTGTCAGGCCAGGTTGAATTCGTGGTTTTCGGCTCGCCATCATTGATTGTTATTGATATTAGGTAATTCTTGACATTAAAAATTAATATATATATATATATATATATAT